TCATCTCAGGAAAGGGGGCATCCTTCGACCACGCACCAATGCCGCGAAGGCCTGAACCGCGCATGCACAGTCACTAGTGTTGACGTCACTAGGCATCACCATCACCCTAGGTAACTCGGGAGGGTGGAAAATCACAAGTGTCAATGAAGCCTTCCTGCACTAGGCCTAAATGAACCAAACTCTTTCCTTGTTTAAACTCTAATCGACCTCAAAAGCCAGGTGCAATTGGAATATGTAAGCAACCAGTTATCTATGTGCAACCTCCTGCTCACACCGGTATCAAGTGGTAATAATAAGGCCTGCATGTTTCTGGCTGAAGGGAAAAAGGAAAAGATAACGGTTTAAAAAGTTACTAACAAGCTAGTCTTATAGCTGCCAAGAATGACTTAACTGCTTAAATGTAATCGTTATTTGCTTAGTAACTATTACCAGGGATGGGAGGGGTAGAGGGAGGAATGGGGGAGAGAAAGGGAGGGCTAGAGGGAAAGTGGTGTGGGGGATGAGGCTTAACTGCAAAATGTATAAAAGAAGAAAAACTCTTTCTGTTGGTGTGCTTGATTTGAGACGTGCCAGTCTCCTTGCACCGCTTTGAGATCTCAAATAAACTTTGTTTGCTTCTCCACCTGGTGTGTTTATGGACGCAAAGCACACCGGGCAACGAACCCCGCTGTTGCTGTCCTCGGGCACCTCTGTGCCGGCAACACTAGGATGAGCTGCGCCACTTGTCCCTGGTCAGAGTTCTTTTATGCAGCATGTGGAGGGAAAACATGGTACGCTCCCAGCAAAGGCAGGAAATAGTCTGAGGTAACATTGTTCTTGAGATCGCCCAGTGGCGGGAAAAACCAGTTTGATGAAGGATGATCTAGGCCAGGAAGACAGGGCACAAAGGGGGTCACAAGATGGAGTTTACAAAATCGTGGTTCAGACTCCATTTTGAATTGCTGCTCTGTCCTTACAAATTACATATTGCGTTTAACATACGCATATTTAATAAGCTATAAGAGTATAACAAATCACACCCAACACCAGTGAGTGCGGGAGTGGGCCCGACCTCTGCTGCCAGCACTAGGCCCCCTGCTAATCCCCCAACCTGCCCTGGGCCTCTTTCTTTCTATAAATAAACCTTTAGATTTTGGGGTAAGATCTGAGTGTGTGGCAGGTCCTTTGGGATCAGAAGAACCTGTTATTTGAGGAGACGGGTTTTAAAGAACCACTCAGCTTTCAATCCAGTGTTTTGGGGGGTGATACAAAGACTGGAATGCCTCAGGAAGCTGCTTTTATGACTTCTTGTTAGCCAGTGTGGTGAGACAGAAATTTATTGTTGTGGCTGGTTTGATATATCGTTTGGGAGAAAAACCCCCAGCATTTTGGGGTGTATTTAACCTGTTTCTCCTGAATTTGGTATTCTCAGTTGTGACCCACAACGGTACAGTTACAGGTGGGCAGCTTTTCTCAGCATTAAGGGTGAATCATGCATACAAGCTTCTGCTACCAGGACTCAGTTTCATTTGCAATCTCCCTGCAGGAGAAACCCAGGCACGGCCCACCGGCTGATCAGCCCCTCTGAGACTTGAAAAACTTCTCTCTGTGTTGACTGCTTAAAGCTTTGCTTTGAGCTGCCTCTCGAGTCACAGGCCCCCTGGACTGGTGCAAAACACGGTGTTCACTCAACTGGCTAAGGCAGACTTGTAGGAGATAGGGCAAAAGGAGAGAGACAAGTAAGGTGAGGAAGGAGAATGAGGCCTGAGGGGAAGGGTGACAGCAGAACCCCAATCGCCTATCCCAGGGGGTGTTTAGGATTTAGCCAAAGCCAGTGCACTTGAGGATGTTGGCTGTTTCCCCCTCTCCGATTAGCCCTGTTCTCAGGCTGAAAGATGAGCGCGATGATGAAAGACAAGCGGGGCCATGCTGGGTCCCAGGAGACGGTGGGCGAGACGTACCCCAGGGTACAGTGCGGACTGTTGAACTGCTGAATTCTCCATCCCAGGACATGTTTTACACTGCTTCCCTGGGTGAACAACAAACCCCTCCATGCTCTGCTCACCCCCAGCCAGCCACCGGATTCAAGTCACTCCCAGCGATACAGCCCTGTGTGCGACTAGACAGCCAGTGATGAATTAAAGTACATAGCAACCCCAGCCAGTTCTCTACTCCCAGCCTCGCACCCCAGCTGTGCGACTTCTACTGTCCAGTCCGTACACTGAGGGGTACAAGCTCATCAGTGCCTCATCCCAGCAAAGGATGGTGATTAGGTAAACAGCCTTGTTATCTCAAGTGAAATCCCCCGAACACTTCAATGAAAACACACTGGTTGGGATAAAAACAAGTCTATTAACTAGAGGCAGGTAGGTTTTAAGGGATCACAAGTGAGAAAGGAGTGAAAGGTCCGAATTGGATACAACAAAAATAAAAGGTAAACACGCATTTTAAATCCCAAACTTTACCAAGCTAAGGAAGACTTGTAGCAAATAGCTTTTCTCACCCCACCCGATGTTGCAGGCAATTCACAGTTCTTAGTACCCAGGCTGGCTTTTCTTCCAGCCTTGGTCTGCCCTTCCCACTCCAAGGCCCCTGTTGCCTTTCAAGCCATCTTGTTGCCTGCTGTAAAGATGGGGAAGGAGAGGTAAAAATGGAGGCAATTCTCCCTTGTTCTTTTGGACCACTCTCCTCTTTGCGGTTTGCCCCCTTGCCGGGGGCCAGGCAACAATTAGTCTGTGGTCTAAGTGAGCGTCCAGCCGTCCTTCCGGTGAATTGTAACTCTTTTGTTCCCAGCTCCACAGCAGGTGAATGGCCGGCTAAGCAATTAATGGCCACTTAGCACCTGACTCTGAGGAGCTAGTCTGTGGGCATTTTCCAGATTTCCAGCATGGTTCAGTAACAAACCCATAGCAAAATCTCATAACTCCATACACAATGTTGATGCACACGATTTAACAGGACAATAATATGCAGTAGACCATCACTTTTCATAGGACACCTCACAGGGCTTGTACTTTGTATAAGATTTATCATCATTTTGTGACAGTGGTGACCAGAATAGCGTAGACCAGTGGGTCTCAAATTTCTTTCATCAGTTCCCCCTTAGAGTCTGTAGTCATTTAAACACCCCCAATCCCACAAGCAGAAATACAGCCTCTCAGCTCTAAACCAGCCCCTCTCAGTGGTGCTGTCTGAATGCAGAGGGGGCAGGGAGAAGGGGCAGACGAAGAGAGTGAGGAGAGGCAGCACCTCTCTATCCCGGTGCTCTCCCTCGCCTCATATCCCATGATACCCAAACACTCAATAGCCCCAGCACCCAGCTCCCCTATTCCTAGGGTCTCTCACACCTTTGTGGATTCTCTGATGTTTAATGAGGTGCGGTAGCTGAAGGAAGTTTTCCCCACAGGCAAGGCATTTATGAAGTTGTGTCCAGCGTCCCGGGCTGGAGGGACACACAGAGATTGCTCAGTTAGGGCAAACTCCAAAGAATGGGCCGACAATCCTCAAAACTAGTGGCTATTTCAATACTTAGCAACAAAACACCTATCCCCTTTTATCCCCTCTGCCCCTCATTATTCCTGGGGTTTGCTCTACAATACCTTATTGGCTACACAGAGGCAAAGAACAGCTCCCTTAAAGCAACCAGGCCTTGGGCTCACTCCCAGACAGCCCAGTTAAACGTGGTGGGGATTACTGAAAATCTTCTTCATCACATAAAATGTTCTATCAATCCCGAAGGATCAGAAAAATCACCCAGCAAGTTAATGATTTCTTTAGTTCTGACCGAAATACATGCTTACAGCCAGTTCTTATGAACTAAACTAAGATTTCTTACAACCAGAAAAGAGAGAGCCTGTGGGTTAAAAGATCATGCAGAGATGAATAGAGTCCTTAGGTCAGTTTCACTGTAGAGATGGTGCATTAGAATTGCAAAGAGTCTGTTTCAGAATTACTTAATCAGGTGAAAAGAACAGGAGTACTTGTGGCACCTTAGAAACTAACAAATTTATTTGAGAATAAGCTTTCGTGGGCTACCACCAACTTCATTGGATGCATAGAATGGAACATACAGCAAGAATATATTTATACATACAGAGAACATGAAAAGGTGGGAGTAGCCATACGAACTGTAAAAGGCCAATCAATTGAGATGAGCCATCATCAGCAGGAGAAAAAGAACTTTCGAAGTGATAATCGAGATGACCCATAGAAGGTGTGACGATACTTAACATGGGGAAACAGATTCAATTAGTGTAATAACCCAACCATTCCCAGTCTCTGTTCAAACCTAAGTTAATTGTATCTAATTTGCATATTAATTCAAGTTCAGCAGTCTCTCTTTGGAGTCTCTTTTTGAAGTTTTTTTGTTGCAAAATTGCCACCTTGAAGTCTGTCAATGAGTGGTTAGAGAGGTTGAAGTCTTCTTCCACTGGTTTTTGAATAAAGCAACAGAGGCACCTTTAAGACTAACAGATGTTTTTGAATATTATGATTCCTGATGTCAGATTTGTGTCCATTTATTCTTTTTCTTAAACAACACTGGTAATTAATTACATAGACTAAAATAAGGTAAATATCCACAGAGCAGTTAATAAACAGTTTACCACAAACTTTACAGAGACATGTAGACAACGATCTTATTACACCCAAATTTTATCTATATGTTAATATTTCCTTCCCATCTCAGACTTAACAAAATACAACTCTAGACAGGAACCCTTTAGTTACACTGTTAACCTCTAACAAGATGTAAGTAAACGTAAACTATTACAATTACTAGCTTCTTCCAATTCTTTAACCATAAAAGTTTACATTTCAAAGCTCTATCTTCTCTAATGTGGAATGGCGCTAATTAGCATTTACACACATTCCTAATATGTGTCTAAAGGTTGAATCTGAGTCACATGTCACAGAAGTTTGGATCCTGTGTGGATTTTCCCATGTTGAGTGAGGTGTGATTTCTGTGTGTAACTTTTCCCACAGTCCGAGCACTTATAGGGTCTCTCTCCAGTGTGGATTCTCCCATGTTTAGTGAGGTGTGATCTCTGTGTGTAACTTTTCCCACAGTCCAAGCACTTATGGGGTCTCTCTCCTGTGTGAATCCTCTGATGTGCTATAAGATGTGATCTGTGTGTGAAACATTTTCCACATTCCGAACACTTATGGGGTCTCTCTCCTGTGTGGATCCTCTGATGTTTAATTAGGTCTGACCTCCGTACGAAATTTTTCCCACAGTCTAAGCACTTGTAGGGTCTCTCTCCTGTGTGGACTGCCTGATGTTTAATAAGGTCTGACCGCCGTACATAATTTTTTCCACAGTCTAAGCACTTATGGGGGCTTTCTCCTGTGTGGATTCTCTGATGTTTAACAAGGGATGATGTGATTCTGAAACTTTCCCCACATTCTAAGCACTTATAGGGTCTCTCTCCTGTGTGGATTTTCTGATGTTTAACAAGGGCTGACCTCTGTATGAAACTTTTTCCACAGTCCACACACTTGTGGGGTCTCTCTCCTGTGTGGATTCTCTGATGTTTAGCAAGGTCTGACCTCTGTTTGAAACTTTTTCCACACTCCACACATTTGTGAGGTCTCTCTTCTGTGTGGATTTTCTGATGTTTAACAAGGTCTGATCTCCATATGAAACTTTTTCCACAGTCTAAGCACTTATGGGGGCTTTCTCCTGTGTGGATTTTCTGATGTAAAACAAGGGCCGATGTGATTCTGAATGTTTTCCCACAGTCCAAGCACTTATGGGGTCTGTCTCCTGTGTGAATTCTTTGATGTTTAACAAGGGCTGCCTTCTGTATAAAAGTTTTTCCACAGTCCACACACTTGTGAGGTCTCTCTCCTGTGTGGATTCTCTGATGTTTATCAAGGTCTGACCTCTGGATGAAACTTTTCCCACAGTCTATGCATTTGTGGGGTCTCTCTCCTGTGTGGATTCTCTGATGTTTATCAAGGTCTGACCTCTGGATGAAACTTTTCCCACAGTCTATGCATTTGTGGGGTCTCTCTCCTGTGTGGATTCTCTGATGTTTATCAAGGTCTGACCTCTGGATGAAACTTTTCCCACAGTCTATGCATTTGTGGGGTCTCTCTCCTGTGTGGATTCTCTGAT